CAACAATGTGCTCGGATTTGGTGTGAGTGGTGGCGAGTTGTGACTCCATCATTGATGACAAGGTCTGTGGAATGGTGTGAGTTAGTTTGATGGTGAATTATTTCCTAACACAGAGCTCTGTGGAATGGTGTGAGTGGTGGCGGTGAGGAAGAAGAGAAGTGAGGGTCATGAATATGGTGAGGGGGCAATTACGGAATATGAAAGGGCAATTCTGAATTTTAATCCACTCTCTATCGGAAATTTTGCTGGAGGCCAGTTGAACATTGTAGTTTTAGTATTTGGTGTGGATTTATATGCACAAAATAAATTAGAGGGGTGTAATCTACACAAAATCAAAACTTTGAGGGTGTTTTCTAGACTTTACCCTTTAGTAAATATCTAGAAGTGCAAATGTAAGACATTCATATCACTTAATCAACCATAACATTTTTTTGTAGTGTATTACAATTGAAATCTTATAAGGACAAAATAATGAATACAAGAAAGCATATTGAAACACATTTAAAGGATAATTTGACACTTCAACGGGTGCTTCAACTTCTAAAAAAAAAACATATTGAAAAATTAAAGTATGTTGAAAAAGTCATTTCATTTTCTTGACGTCTTTATTATATCTATTGGAAACATGATCACACCAAGAAGCATCACTTTCAATTCTCAAAATATATTTATATATACAGATATTAGTCTTTGCACGTTTTGTTTAATAAACAGTCATTTATATATATATATATATATATATATATATATATATATAATCTCAATTGAGGTCAATTATTTAAAATTTTATATATTTTATTCAAACTGTTAATCAATTGTTCACGAGTCATGACTCAATTTGATGACTCCTTCAAAATTGGTTCGATACATATTGAGCGTTAAGGCGATAATTGTTGTTTGTAGTATATTGATATAAATAATATTAATTAAGTCTTAAGCAATAAAATGTATAATAACAATAAAAATGGATTACAAAATAAAATATATAATAACAAGTTAGAAGAATTTTAGAAAAACAAAATATTGATTTGGGCTCAGATTGTTTAATTTGGGGCTTTGGGTTGGGTTCAGAGATTGAACTCAATCTAATCCGAAAAAGCTTAAATTTTGATAAAACTCAACCGGATTTGAGCCCTATTTATAAATTTAAAAGCTCAAATTTTAAAATTTTTAGGCTTTTCACCCCTGGATGAAACTGAGACAAAAGAGCAGCTCTATTAATGCCTTTAGTTTTACAAATATTCAACAATATCATCCCTACGACCATGTTCACATATAGACACAAATTCCCCAAGTGCCTTACCTACTTCTTCACGTGTACTTATTTCTTTATTTCCATTACGTACCTAAGTTGAACAAGACCAAAGGAAGGGCCAAACTAGATGAAGTGCAAAGGAAATGCCCTGGCCGAGTCTAAAGAGAAGGAATAGAGTAAGGTGGTTCGGCTATGGAAGGAGGAATTCAAGGCTGGAAATTTCACTATCAACCGTTCACCATATCATCATCCTCATCATCACAATCGATATCTTTTCATGTTCGTCTAAGGTAGGGATTCTTTTTAACCTTTGCTGCCTTGAGGGAGCTCTTTAAACTTGTTTTCCTTCTGTAATATTTTCCAAATTTATACCTCATTTTGCTTGCTGTGAAGTTTATAGGAATTCCTGATATTGCTGCCATGAAATTTTAATCGTGCTTACAACTTCCTGATTCTTTATTAACAAAGTGCTTGTTAATTTGCAGACATACTTGTTATACATATGGCCATGATCTGATTTTTGTACAAAATTGTTGCTAATCTGAATTTAAAAACTTTGTATGAGCTAACTTACCATATTTTCAAGATTTGTGTTACTCCTCCTTAAAGTTTAGAGATACCTTTGCTGAAAGTTTTAAGAATTGTAATTGAGTTGGTTAATTATACTTGGACTGGGCCATGCTATTGCTAAAGTTTGGGGACTAGGAGGGTATTGTCTCGGACGAAAGGGGTGAGCAATTGGGTATGAGCTAACCGTTGGTGAAAGACCATAAACCTGCAGCGGTAGACCCTAGATGGGTATTTGGAGTTGAATTCCAACTAGTTGAAGTGGGAGAGATAGTTGAGGTCGCTCTAGTTGTAGTGAAGATGTTTGCTGAAAGGTCCAAATGAAAAAGTATATTCTTTATCAACTCAATTAAAGGTTTTGGAGCTAGTCAACAAATTAAGTTAATAAGTTTTGTTGTGTACAATCTAATCATTTTGTGACTGATTTTTATTGTTAAATTGGAAATTGCGTTTTTGCTTAAGTAGATCATGTGCCAAAAACCTCATGGAGGCATTGGTTAAAGGTTTTCCTACCGGGCGTCGTCTCATTCCTAACAATTTCAGGTATTGTCACCTGAGATGGTGGATGTGGACATGCCAGCTGCTATCTATGATTTGCTTTCATTCTGAAAACCTTTGGATGGATGAAGCTTATGCGTATACCTCATGGCGTGAAACTGATAGTACAACCCATGCTTGGATTTGCTCTTAATGTGTTTATCTCTTGTTCTGCTGATCTGAGATGATAACATGACCCTTAGTTGTATATGCTCCTTTCACGTGTTTGAGATAAAAGTTTAGTTGTGATATGGTGGTTTGGGTTTTGATTGGAGTGGCGTAGCAGAAGCTTGGGTGATTTTACTTGTATATATAATTTTTTAGAAATTGTTCTTATTTGCTAAATAATCATATGCTTATGTTACTGGAAACAGCTTCGACTCTTTTCATGCTTGACATTATATTATGCAAAACAGGGACCTTTATTTTATTGGAAAATAATGTTTTTTATAAGGATCTGTAGAGATCCAAATGCTTTCAAATTTTAATCACAGCCTCCTTTATCCATCTAGTATTGCTCCATAATATTTTTATAAAAATCCGACAATGCATGCTATCTATCTTTAAATCGCAGCTGGAAAACAGGGTTTTAATGGATTATTTGACCAACTTTTTGACACCTAATCATTACCAAAACTTCCAGATTTATTCTTTCGTAATGTACTTTCAAAATAAATTTAGTTTTCCCAATTCAGAGATCAAACGAATTTTCTAAAAATTTTGGAAGTATTTAAGATGCCCAGATTTTCTTCGAACTAAGTTCTGCTTATTTACTTCTCAAATCTGATTTAATTGGAAAATATTCAGCCTCCGTGAGTGGCTCAGCTGTGTTTCACTTTGAATCTAGTTTTCAAATCATTTTGGTTTGCTCAGTTCTGATTTAAAATGAATTTTCTATAATTTTCTGATTAACCACTACGCCGATTTTTGTTTGACGCTGTTTGGGACCCGATAAAATTGGTGTTTAACAGAGTAGCACAATGGGAGTTTGTTTGAGGTTATTAAAGTTTGTTTGGGACAATGAATGGACTTTGGATTTGTAATTGGGATTAATTTTGGTAATTTTATTCGGACAATTTCCAAATCATGTTTTGTGATTGCCCCTAATTTCGGGTCGTTACAGGAACTGTATTGAAACGCCTGAATTTTGTGGAGTTCCTGTAAATTCTTCCTGTTTGAAAGTTACGTTATGGTCATTTGAAGTTTGGGCTGATCCTTGGAGGGGGTTGTGTGAGTACTAGCTAAGAAAAAAAGAAGAAGTCTGGACTGATTTCTATAGCTTTCAATTAGGCTTTTGATGGTCCAATAGCTCCAAATAATCCAACACACCTATTTTGTATCAATATTGTTGCCAAAGCAAAAGAATTAAAAATACATTGCTTAGATGGTCTGCTTGGAGGACAAGACTAAAGAAATATTTTATATTTTCTATTATTTTGCACAATGTGGCTACTTTGAGACTCAGATCTGCATTCTCACAATTGTCAAAGCGAAGCTTTTACTGTTGAACCAAGCAATGACCCCTTAATATTTTAAGGGGTTATTGTCTTAAGAAGCAGTTACAATTTAATAATGCTTTTTCCATATTGAGTTACATATTAAGAGTGCTTTCTGTTGGTGATTTGCATTATGATGTAGGGCTACCAGTAGATAGGATGAACAAAAGGGTTCTGTTAATGTGTATAATCCTAAGGGTTGTGTTAAAAGGACCAAATCAATTATTTTGGTGCTGAACTTCTTAAAATTAGTTAACTGGTATAAGCTCATGGGCAAGAGAAGTATGGCAAAAATTTCATTTTCAGTCATAAAAATGCATAATTGTGCTTGTTATCTTCATTCTATTATTTTCAGTGCCATTGCACCAAGGAATTTACCTATCACTTTGCTGAAAAATATAGGGTTGTTAGATGGAATAAGATTAATTGGTATTCTCATTGCACCAAGGAATTTACCTATCACTTTGCTGAAAAATATAGGGTTGTTAGATGGAATAAGATTAATTGGTATTCTCATAGATCTTAATAACAAGCTTATGTTAGACTCATGAAAATTGCTAGAAGACGTGTGGTGGTCTAGAAACATTTGCACTACGTCCATAGGATTTAGTGTAAGCTTAAGCTATTAGAGAGGGTGTAACTTAAATATATAAATCCTTCAACACGCCCCCTCACGTGTGGCCTTCTTTTGGTCCAACACGTGTTTTTCAATTTTTTAATTAGGGTGACGGTGAGGTTTGAACTCGAAACCTTTGGCTCTAATACCATGTTAACTACCATCTACTCCAAGTTGTTCGAGAGGGTGTAACTTAAATATATAAATCCTTCAACATTTAGTTGTAGGCTAACATGTCCACTAAATTATTGCCTGGCAAAGATGTGCACTCCCTTAACGCTCATAAGGAAATAGCTATATGTATTTTGAAAAATATCTTAATAAAAATATAGTGCCAATTCAATTGTCTCATTTAAATTTTCTGTCTTATAAAAATTCAGCACTGGATGCTGCACATTTATTGGTGGAAACTTAGTGCTGGAAAGGGGAAATTGTTGGTCCTTTGCTCTGAATAAGGAACTTATAAATAAGCCATGTTAGTTGGAAATCTTAAAATTTGCATAATACACGTTGTTGTTCCTCTGTTGCGCCAAGGCTCACCCTCTAATCGTGTCCAGAATTAATTTTCTGTTCATTTAATCAGCTGGAGATACTGTAATGAGTACTAGTTGAGGTAAAAGTTGACTCATGTAGTAAATTGTCCCTACCAACTAATTTTTTTGTGATTAGAAACATGTAACTAGCAACCTTTTTCAGTTTAAAGATATACATGACGCTGTTCATACAACACTAGAGTGTGTGGGGACAATATCCCAAAATTAAGCACCGAACTTCTCTATTTTTTTTTGTGGTGTACCATGGTGACTCTATCTGTTTGCATATTTAGCATTTTAGAGATGTTGGAGGATCAAAGTGACTGTTATTGTGATGCTAATAATTTATCACAGGACTAATTTTATTTTTATATACCGAATTGTTCTACTTAGTTACCTCATCAAATGCCTCAAATATGTCAATACTTGGCTGGTGAATGGTGCACACCACTGACCTCCTTGTCTTAACAATATTCTTCACTACTCGCATGACAATTGCAGCTGCTCTGGCATCTAGACCAGAAGTGGGTTCATCCATGAATATTATAGATGGATTTGATACAAGCTCTATAGCTATGGTTAGCCTCTTACGCTGCTCATTTGATAAACCACTCACACCAGGATAAGCAACTAAATCATCTTTAATATCTTCAAGTTCAATCATTTGAAGAACATCAGCAACAAATTCCTGTAACATACAAACGTTAGTGAATCATTCAAGTAAAGAATGAAGCATTCAGATAAGCAACAGTTAGTTTCTTTTACCATAGGCTATGTTCTTCTTCTTCTTTTCTTTTATATCTAAGCGAGTTATACAAGGATTCATGTTAAATACTTATTGCAACTTGTTTCTTTATTGCATTAATGTTGGAAACTGCTAGTATATTCAATGGAAGTAGAGACATCTTACAGATTTTGTTCTTCGATCAATGTGAGATGGCAAGCGTAGCCAAGCTGAGAATGTCACTGATTCTTCTATTGTAATTTGTGGAGAATTTATGTCAGTTTGCTCGCAGTAACCTGATATTCTGGCATATGTGTCTTGGACTTTAGGGTGACCTCCAATTCTTATATCTCCTTCGATAACACCACCAGTTTTTCTTCCAGAAAGAACATCCATAAGTGTTGTTTTCCCAGCATCGCTAACCCCCATTAAAGCTGTAAGAATTCCAGGCCTAAATGCTCCAGTAATATCTTGTAGAAGTTGTAGCCTTTCTGGCTGGATACCTTGCTCTCTCGTTTTCTGTAACAGATGTATGAAAGAAACTTAATCAATTCAAGTCATATCCATGCCAGCAGTGTTAGAATTAGTCGTCACTGGATAATACAATTACCTTAGGAGTGTCGACAAAATATTGCACATTCTCGAACGTTATTGTCATTGGCAAACGGTAAAACCATCCCTGTTACACTAATTGACTCTTTGTCAGTATTAGTCTGCTTAAGAACAAACGACCCCATTAATGTTATATGTAATAGTATTGCCTTCAACTTCAGATAGCTGTTGAAACATACAACTACCTTCTTACCCATATTTTTGTTATACAATTAGTTTCTTACCTATTCCTTCTTCCACAGGAGTTTTGGAAGAATCAGCACGACGGCATTCTTTTTCTTGAGATATATTTCTGAGATTGTCTTTCCCTCTTATGTCAGAGAGCTTTTCATGAGAAATTATAGTCCGAGATCTTCCTGGAGCTGAAGACATTTTATTTTCAACTGATAAGGTTAGTGAATGAAGAAACCATCTATAACTTGATTCTTTTTTTCTTTCTAGTTAGTATTTGCATGAGAGGAAGATACGCTTACGCTTTAAATAACTCAGTGCACAGGTGAATCCAATATTAAAAAGCATCCAAAATCCAACTAATGCTCCTACTGATATCCAATAAAAGTAACCACTGTAGTTTAACCCACGTTTTGTTAGGACTTGCTGGCCTATAGTAGCATTTGGTGATGAAACCTCCTGTAAAGAGAATGATTGAATAAGCACTCACTGTAATGAAAACAATTGTATTGGTCTCTTCATTGATCTAGTCAACAAAATAACCAGCTTTTGCTTTTACTTTTTGCCACCTTGGGGCAAGGAATTCATTTACTGAAACACCGATCTCTGCATATGTTAATGGAGAAAGGCAGAAGGCCCATTTTAGCGAAGTAGGCAAAATGGCTGCATTGACAGAGACATATAATTATGTTAGCAGAAGTATCTACTTTGGATAGAATGGTCTTAAATGAAATCATGCTATGTCCTTACGACGCGGAATAATAAAGCCACCAAATAAGAACATTACTAACAAGGAGAAGAGACCACAAGATGCACCGACAGATGGATTCTGGAACACGGATGCAACGAAACGGAAAAAAGATATTGCTACTTGGTGTAAAAGGAAAAGAAGAAGGAACTGGCCAAGAAACCTGTAGGCATATATAATGTTAGGACTTGGAGAGGGGGAATACATTTATTTGCATAATTGAATACCTTTTTAAAGAACATACCTTTCTGGTTCAGGACTGTAACCAATGACATAATAGGTGAGAGCAGTCCAAAGAAAAGCATCTAGAAATGAAAATGGGATCTTCAGAATGGCTGCTGGAATGGAATAAGCCCATGCAGGGTAAAAGTATAAATCTCTTTGCTTGTAGAAGACAGAAGGTCTAGAAACAGTCAATGACAACTCTGTAGCCCCAACCTGTTTTTAGCCTTTTCTTTTGACCACCTGATATCCCTCTTCTCGTAGCATCTCCCACAATTGTATCCTCGCAAATGTCCAGCCCAAGGATCTGAATAGCCATAAAAGTGGTGGTAGAATAATAGCCTTTGACTAAACAAAAGTTGGAAAGTGGTTCTTGATTTTTTTTTTTTTAACTTTGTTGAGGAAAGTTACCTTTAAAATGTAGTCTGTCTGAAGAGTTCTTTTTAATCCTTCTATGGAAATTGCCTGTTGGTGTAATTTACCATCGCAAATAGTCAGGAAGAGAATGGACCAAGCTGCCATAATTTTGTGGAACATTATTTTTTACCTTCATGTAAGTGTCTATGTCTAGTTCTGGGATAATTCCAGCTTGCTTCTCCCTTCTGCTGACTTCCTTCATGATTTCTTCAATACCAAAAAAATTAGTCATCAGATCAACATAATATAGCTGTAAGAATGTGATCATGAATGTGATTCTCAGAAAGAAATCTACCTGTTCTGCTTCCAATGCCCTGACAACGTGCTGAGAAGTCTAGTGTTTCTCTCACAGCCATGTGAGAAATGTGCAGGTCATATCGACTTATATAAGCTGACGTCTTGTGAGGAACAAACTCATTCAACTTGTAACCGTTGTGGGAGATGTCTCCTGTGACCTAAAATGAAGATTTTATGAGAAAAGATTTTTTTCTATAAGTGATTATGATTAATTAGAAAGTCTAACTTTGGACTTTTAACTATTTAAAGCTTTTTACTAAGTTTTGGATACAATGCAAGAATGTTGATTGTTTCTGTGAATTCTTTCTCACTATTAATGCTATATTTTAACTTTTGGCTTGTATTTCTTTGATAGGGGTACGATAAATAAGGAGCAGAAAACCTTAAGAGTTTGGTCTAGTTTCCCTGCAAGTGCCATTAACAAAGTGGTCTTCCCACAGCCCGGAGGCCCCAGTAACAGTGTCAACCTGCCAAAAACTATGTTTATGTGAGGTAATTTTGTTTTACAAAGAAGACAACAAAGAATTAATTAGCGCTAATGATAACCTTGAAGGCTTGATGATGCCACGGACAATTTGAAGAATTTTGATCCTATTTGCATGAGAATTGCGTCCAACAATATTTGTGATAGCCTGTTCAACATTATACATCTGTTTTAGTGTCCAGTGACCAACAATTCAGGTATAGAAAAATATGCTAAACTGTCAGCTTTGGATGTATTGCATTGCACAAAAACTGTGGTAAAAGTATTTTTCTTACCTAAACTTCTGAGTCATATAAGCAACTGAATTTTACTCACTTTCTAAAAACATTTTTAATAGTTATTTTTTCAATTCAAAGAACTGTCCGACAAACTGCTTAAGCTAAAAATAAAGTTGTAAGAGGCCTCTCATCTCTTTTTTTTTTTTTAAAGGATGTATCTGAAACTTGGAGACCAGGAAACGGAAAAATAAAAACAAATTACTGAACTTCATTTTTTAATGTTTGCCTTGGAAAGTTAAAGGGAAAAATATGAAAGAGAAAAGGGGGAATGTTTGTGACTTTGAATAGTTCTATTTTTCTTGTAGAACAACGAGGAAACACCGGAAGTTGTGAGGAAAGAAAATACAAATCTTCATGACGAGTTCTCATCTTAGGAGGACAAATCAAAATAATAAGAAACAAATAGTTAGAATAGCAACATGGTATCTAGGAACATTAACTGGTAAGAAGAATTAATTTATACAGTTGTAATGAGAATGTTTGTTTAAGTGATATGAGTGTTTACTTGGAATAGAGAATGGAAAATAAAGTTCATGTTTCTAACCCCATTCATAATGATGATGATGAAACAGAGTATTCTTTACCGATCACAAGTTCAGGTAAAGATAGGTTCACAATTAATTATTATTATTATTATTTTTTTCTTTCTATGCAATATGCATGAATGACTATAACTATAACTACGAGTATGACCATGAATGAACAATATATTTAAGGGTAGAAATTAAAGGATGGACAAAATTAAATGATTTATGTTTTCCTGTCAATTCTCTCTCATTTTTCATAACAACTGGTGATTATCTTGCTCGATTTTCTTCAAGAGCTTCTCAATGAATACATGCCGTTCTAGAGCTCCAAGGTTGGCGACGTCAATCGCGCCTTGTTATTTTATTAAACAAATAAATTTGTGATATTAACAGTATAAACCGGTCGTCTCTATTTAATGGCTATTGTAAGGTGGATTTGATGAGAAAAGCTTGCCGGGAAGTGATTCAGAATCATTTGAGCACTATGTATATATATAAGGTGATGATTGCAGAACAGACTATGTATTTGGTTTAGTGTAATGGTGTGGAATCATTTTGCCTATACTTGTAATGGTGTGGAACAGACTATGTACGCTCGTACAGCTCATAAACGGAACAAACATCCATAGTAGGCTAGTAGCCATTTTGCCTATAAGTATAGGCAAATTAACTCTGCTGAATAAACAATATACACACTTCTGCATGCAGTGATCTTGATTTTCTCGCAATTAATTAACCTTCGTTTTGTTCAATGTATGCTAAATTTAATGATCACATGACAGTGTTGTGGAAAATTTACTGCTTGAGCATGAGTTGTAGATCTATTTGTAGATGAGAAAGAATACTTACTTTTACAGCTCATATTTGGATGGATTTGTGTGTCTGCACTCTCTTAGAAGCTCTCCGTATCTTGAACCATACTCACATGAGGTTTTGTCAAATTACACACAGGTAAATCATTTAACGTTTGTTATTTTGACCATTTCTGAGATTTGGCGACACTCCCTAGCCTTCTTTTTTCAACGGATAATATTGCCAGTCCTTTTATGAAAAACAGGGCATTACTGACTTTTCACACAAAGTCAAAATAATAATTGTTTAACGTTCTATTAGTGTGTAATTTGCTCTAATATGAAAGTTCTTTGTAAATTTGTAAGTGACTCTAAATTTTATTGTTAAACGAGAAATGTAAAAATAAAATAAAAATGTGAATGAAAATGAGTTTGCATGCTTATTGCATTTTGGTTTGGATGTTACTAGGATACATATGCACACATAATTGAATACATGCATGTATTATATATAAATGAGTTTGAATGCTTGAGTCAATTTTACAACTATTTTAAATGTCGAAGTGCCTTCAAAAGTGAGAAATTATTGAATGATTTTGGTCTATTTAACATTTGGTGGATTAATTTAATGAAATTCTTCCAATCATGACACTTTATAATATATTAACATACCCTTGTAAATATATATATATATATATATTGTTAATCTCGAAGTTTGTATTTAATCGGTTCTCCAATTGTCATCTGGTAATTTCTCCTTCAAAGTACCTAAACATATAGATATGTGGACTAAAATCATATTTATATATACATACATATATTCAATTATTTTTCGATGTCGCTTAATGAAAAGTTCATAAAATAAATAAAATAATAATAATAATTAAAAAAAAAAAAATTTGAAGTCGTTGTTTGAATATAAAAGCATGCTCTTTGTCGAAATAATATTAAGATTAAATCTGCCTTTGTTCTTTTTCTCCTAACATCTTATATATGGGTTGTATATATGGCACTGCATACACTTTTTATTTTTATTTAGTCATTGATTTTCGTTTAGACCTAGAATTGGGTGATCTATTTTATATTCCTCATGGTTTGCATTTCTATGAATAAATAATAAGATACCTTAAGAACAGATTGTCTATACTTGCTTTTTTGGTTTGTCAAGATTTGGTCAACTTTATACTTTAATAACGTACTTATTCAACATCATATTCATTTTTATTTTTTATTTTTTATTTTTTTTCTTGGTGTGTGAGTTCATACGAGATCTAAAATTACCGAAGAAAAAAATTAAAAATGAAAATAAAAATAAAAAGAGATGCAGCCACATAATTTCCTTATTTACTGGCAAAAAGCAGTTAAAATATGTGTTTTAAGTGCTTTCAATCTACTATGGCACTCTTAGCAGAGAAACAAATGGCCTTTTGATGTTGAGTGCGACTGATGATGAAGATAGGAAATTGATGCAAGAGAATGATGAAAGCATAATTCAATCATCTATGTATGCAGAAGATCACAGATTACATTATAGATTAATAAAGATCACAATTTTTATTTATGTTGCTGTATCATCCACATGAACATATAACGCTATGAAACCTATACCAGATATTGTCCATGAACTGAAAACGTACAAATCTCCATGACTTGTTAAGCAGAAATGGACCAACTACAGCCCAAAACCCCACCACAAATCCTAGTGCCATACTAACATAGAACCAGTCCACTGCAAATCTATGGCCCGTTTTGTCTGCTTCATTTTCAATAGCAGATGGTGTATCATTAACACCGCAGTTGTTATTAACAGGAGGTCCACATAAACTGTTTCCAACATAACTGAATGCATCAAAACTTTGAAGTTGAGTGCTTGATGGTATTTTTCCACTCAAATTGTTGTAGGACAAGTTCAAGTGACTTAGAAATGTCAAACTTGACATGCTTAGAGGGATTTTACCAAAAAGATGATTCATGGAAAAATCAATGGCTTCTAGTTGTTCCATAGCACCAATATTCTTTGGAATTCTTCCTGTCAAAAGATTATATGACAAATTTAAAGAATGAAGCCCTCGGAGACTCGTCAATGCCTCAGGAATTTCTCCAGATAAATTGTTATCTGAAAAATCCATGCTCGTAACTAGTTGAAGAATAGTGCTATATCCCGTCATTTGTCCTTTTATTACCAACAATGCATTCTCTAAAAAACCTTCAAAAGAGGTTCGAGTATAATTAGGATGGTATGACAATTGTTGACTTGAGTTTTGTTGTATGGCCATAGCGCTCAAATTCATGAAACATGCTGGTATACTTCCCGAAAAATTATTATGTGCAAGGTCCAAGATTTGAAGTGAACTGAGTGCACAAAGTTTCTTAGGAATATAGCTTAGAAACTTATTTGATCTTAGGATAAGAATCTTGAGATTTGAAAGCCTTTCTCCTATCCATGTGGGTATACTTCCTGAAAATTCATTTTCACCAAAATCAATAGCCACTAAGCTTGTGCAATTTTGCAGCGACAGAGGTAATTCCCCATATAGGCTATTGTTTCGTAAATGCAATGATTCGAGAAAATCTAGAGATCCCATGGAGCTTGGGATTTTGCCGCTTAGATTGTTATTTGCTAAATTTATGAACTCCAAGTTATTCCAGCTTGTCCAACAGTTTGGCAATTCTCCTGACAAAAGATTTCTTTCCAGATTAAGAAGTTGCAGGTTCTTAGATTCATCCATCTTGTAGCACAGAAATTGAGAAATAGATCCAGAAAATGAATTGTTCGAAAGATCCAGTGTCGATATATTTGACGACAAACGAGGCAATGTACCATTAAAGTGGTTGGAACTTAAGTCAATTGCACTGAATGGCACAGATGTGGCTAAAAACTCATCTACAATCTCACCATGGATATGATTGTGAGAGATATTTAAAGAGAAAATCTGAGATGATAAATTCCAAATCCACCTAGGAATGGTATCCGAAATTCCAGTATGTGATATGTCTAGAATCTCTAAATTTTTCTGTGAGTGAAGCCAATGGGAAAATTGTGGACCTAACCGACATGACCTGAATGACAATTCCCGAAGTTGGAATGGAGGAACCCAATTTGGACTAACAGTCAAGAACAATTGATTCCCAGATCCATCAAGATACCTCAATCGTGTGAGGTTGGCAAAGTGGACTTCAGAGATGACACCTTGTAATGAATTTTGTGACACAGAAAAACTTTCTAGATGTGGAAGTTGGCCAAGACTTTCAGGAAGAGGTCCAGTCAATTTATTGTTCTCGAGATATAAATTCTCTAGATTTGCAAGTTGGCCAAAACTTTCAGGGAGAGGTCCACTCAAATTATTGTTATAAAGATATAAATTCTTCAGAGAATGTAATCTTCCCAAGGACACTGGAAGTTCACCAGAAAGAGAATTATGAGATAGATCAAGAGAGACCAATTTTTTAGATCTTCCAAGTTCAGGAAAATGGCCCCGAAGTTTATTGTAGCTTAAATCTAGAGTTTCTATTTCATCTAAAATGCAACTGGACAGAATCTTTGAAATCTCCAATATATCACCACCAAGTTCAACACTTGCCAACCCAAGTTGCCAGTTCAACATTTGCAACTTGAGTACTTTCAAGTTGCAAAGATTTTCAAAGGATCTTGGCAATCCCCCTGTGAACAAATTCCATGACAGATCAAGATATTCAAGATGACTGAAATTAGAAAGCCACTCAGGTATTGTAGAATTGAAGAGATTGAAGGACAGATCAAGGTGTTTAAGAAGGCTAAAATTAGATAGCCACTCAGGTATTGCAGAATTGAAAAGATTGGAGGACAAATCAAGGTATTCAAGGCGGCTAAAACTAGATAGCCAATCAGGTGTTGTAGAATTGAAGAGATTGCAGGAAAGATCAAGATATCTAAGAGAGGTGATGTTTCTCAGACGAAAAGGTGGAATTGATTCAAAACGGTTAAAAGAAAGATCAAGGACGGCAAGAGAAGTAAAATTAAGAATATGTAAAGGAGGAAAGTGATGAATCCCACAATAGACCAAGTGTAACTCTACCAAAGAAGGGAGCATGTTGATTTGCTGCAACCAATCATGTGCTTTGCTGAGGTTCACGTACTCCAGATCAAGGTGCTGTAACAAGGAACTACCAGAAATCCATTCAAGAGTGTGAGCATATAGATTGCCATCATAACCTCCAAGTCTGAGATAGTGCAAATTGGAGAGGTTCCCCAGTTGATGAGGAATCACTCCTTCCAAATCTCCATCAAGATCAAGGAAGTGCAACCCAGAGAGGTTTCCTAGTTGACTTGGGATGACTCCCTCAAATACAGAGTGGGAGAGATTAAGATATCTTAACCTCCCCAAGGAACCAATGAAGCTTGGAATCTGAATCCCAATAAAATAGTTGCCGCTAATATCCAAGTGAGTCAGATGCTTCAAATCAAGTAAGGATGGGTTTAGCTTACCACCCAAACTGTTGTCAATATCATTAAAACGATTTCGAAGGTGGAGCTCCTGGACATTGCCTGTTAAATTGTTACAGACAACTCCAACCCATTCGCAACAGTCCCCTCCTGATTGATCAGCAACCCATGAGAAGAGACGATTTGAAGGATCACTTAGATCTTGCTTGAATTTCAGAAGGGCTTGTCTTTCATTCTCCACGCAAACCACATGATGAGAGCTGTTGTTTCCACTACAAAAGACCACAATTGTATCAAAAGTTAGTACTACTGAAGTAATCAGAAACACAATTGCAAGATTAATGCTAACATCTGTCATGGATTTTGCCATAATCATGCAAGGATATAAGCAACAGCTAGTAACTAATACTAGCTATATATATATATATATATATATATATATATTGAACTTATAATACTGTATCAAAAGATTTAATATATATTGATGATGATGATGGATGAGAATGGAATTGAAGGAAGATGTGCAACGTATTTATAGCAGCAGGTGGCAGGTGCGAACCATCAAGGGAAGTTTCCTAATAACCACGTACTGTCTTTTCATAAAGTCTTTGCGTGTTGTCCCCTCTTTAAACTCTGTTTCATAGAATACTCTGTTATGACTAAATCAAAATGTTTAAATTTTGTTATCACTAATAATTAATCTTTTCACTAATAATTTTCTTCAGTATTCCAGATTGTTTTACCAAATTCTAAAAAAAGATTAATTATTTTGAATACTTGCAATCAACTCCAAATTATTTGAATACTTGTAATCACTTTCAATTTACGAGTAATAGGGAAATTCAAATGTAGGTTTAAATTTGAAGGTTTAGATTAAACTATAATTGCTAAAATCGTATGACTAAACTTCTTTTATTTAATTTTTTTAATTTTTTTTTTTATATTTGAAGTTAAATGCTTTCAATAGGTGTACACATGGAAATATTTACTATTCACAATAGCAGATAATCTTTTAGAATTATGAAAATAATTTACAATTCTATAAAACTTAATCATAAAAATAGTTTACAATTCTATAAAACTCTCTATTATTATTGAATATTTTCTACCGACAACAGTTTTTACGAGCTTTCTAATATACAAAATTTCGAACTCTCCAACATTCCACAATATAAAATGTAAAATATATGTGACGTGCTAAAATACTCACTTGATTAACGAACGGGAAGCCGAAAGTAATTGTAATCAAATGTTTTTTTTTTCCTCTTAACTCAAGCCTTTAATAGAATACAAAATGTGAATATTTATACATGAATATAATTCTCCAATATACTTTTATTTTTCTTTATTCAAAATTTTTATGTAAAGCTTTGTGCAAGCAATCAAAAAAGTTTAAATTACAAAATGCATTTTTTTTATAATGTTTTACCCGAAACAAATGAAGCCTTTTGTTTGATGTTATCAATCTGTAAGCTAGACAACAATATTTTAAGCAGCCTTATTGTTTTCTAGTCATTTTATGAACATATTTAATATCAACAGCCAATAAGTTCAACCGAAGCCAAACTGTGGTTTTTATTTTATTTTAGGATTTACTACTTTAATATTTTGCAATTGGGAATTTGGGATATAAGAAAATTGAGTAAATTCCACGTCATCTGATTTAGCTATCTATCTTCGGTTTTGGAAGTGGTGACACTGGAAATCAGTAGTTCTTGTTTTGAAAAATTCTTATGAGACTTGCAAAGTCAAGTGATAATAAAAAAATAATAATAATTTGATCATATAATTCTTGTTTGCATCAATTTTTTTTTTTAATGACATAAATTATACAATATATTTATATCACTTTTTTTTATGACATAAATTACACAATATTTTCTAACTTCTCTTCTACTCCTAATTTTTTTTTGAATTGCAACAGTATAATAACAAATACTGTTTTTGACATGAAAAATGTCAAAACACAATACAATTCCTAACAAAATATGTCAAAGCACTGATTTTTAGGCGCATGTTCTTCTTCGAATCACATGCACCTCTCCTCAATTATTTCAAAATCCATAAAATAATTAATGGTAGGGAGTTTATCTCCGAAATCATTATCCTAAAACGGTAGAATGAGATGTTGTTCAACATCTTTTGCTTATGAGTAATGATAGGGATCTGAGCCCACCACCTAAACCCTACACAACCACTGTCATCTGAAGTTGCAATTCAAATTTTTTTTGAGAAACCAGTGCTTTGACAATTCTATAAAACTTAATCGCTACCATTTTTCTAAATACTTAAGAGTTTTTGCAATTGCAAAGTCTTTGTTAGACATGACGGCTATGTTGAAAGTCTTTGCGTGTAATCTAGGCAACCCGCTTCTATAATTCCACATAAAAAATTTATTTCATTTCAACGTGCCGTTTAAGTTTTAAACAAACAGCCACTACTTAATTGGAGTCTTTCGTAGAACAAAGTAAGATGAGATCATGATATAAGTGTGTGACAATTTCTACCACTTCATTGACTTGGATGGCGATGGTTAATTCTACTTCTTATGTTCTGTTTTGTGACAAATTTGGAGTCATACCCTACTGTGCAAAGTTGGGTATAAATAATTGACGTTATGTGATTGACCAAGACCACATAGTCCTGCACTACCTACTAATTTTTCCCGAATAAGGTCCAATGATTATGGAATAATTTCTAATATCTCGGTGACTCTTAATAAAAATAAAACTAGTGTTTCATTATGGTGTCCAATCACTTCACAGTAAGAGTGTTTCCTCATAATTTTTTCTTTTCAAATTTTCTCTACACGTAATGTGATCGATATTTTCTGAAGCAATCTTTCTACAAAATTGTCAAATTTTCTTAACAAAATAGGCTCCATCGGGTGCTAGGGACGTAATTGTTATAGGACGATATATCTCACAATGGGATCCATATCACTCACTAGCTATTTTCCCTATTGCGTCGAAGACTTTGCAATTGCAAAGTCTTTGGATTATATATATTAGACGCGACCTCTTTAACCTCTTTGCAGAAAGTCTTTGCGTGTGATGCGGGCCAAAGGCTTCCATAATTCCACATAAAGTCTTTTGCGTGTTGTCCCACCAAAACCAATGAACACTTATTATTCCCCTCTTTGAACTCTGTTTTGACTCTATTTCACAGGGCTTTGGATTATATATATATTAGACATAACCTCTTTTCCCTCTTTGTAGAAAGTCTTTGCGTATGACGCGGGCAAAACGCTTCCATAATTCCACATAAAGTCTTTTGCGTGTTGTCCCACCAAAACCAAAGAACACTTCATTAAATTATTCCCCTCTTTAAACTCTGTTTTGACTCTGTTTCACAGGGCCTTTTGTAGTCGTATTTCAAATTAGGCACAGTGCTTTAAAAAATACTGCCTTTCATGTACGAGGATATGAGTTCCACCTACACCCATCAATAACTAACTAATGCAAAATGACCAATTAAAATGTTCAAATTTTGTTATCATACAAGCTTAACAAATCTTTTCATAACAAATACATTTTTTTTTTTAATATAAGGGCACGACTCGTGGATATGAGCTCCTAATAATTTTCTTTCGGTATTCCAGGGTGTTTTTATAACAAATACCTATTGTTCAGTAAAAGGGAAAATAAGAGGGGAGAAAAAACATAGAAAATAATACTTTTCTATATTTTCTTGAAAAATGAATAATAAACTACTTAAATGTTCATTTAGAACCCTCAAATTTTACTTATATATAATAAAATTTTAAACTTATTATTATTATTATTATTTCCACACCCCTTCAAAGAATTATTTGTGCCTACCAGGATTCTATCCTGATTATTTATTATATTTATAAGTAGGTGGTTTCATTGAACAATTTGATTTGTTGGGTGCCAGTAATTAAAATCACAATGGTGTTTTTGTATCCATTTTCAATTTTGTATATGAAGTTCATTCTAAAAATAATTTATTTATTGATGTATTTTTATTTGATGTATGAGACATGCTATTATTTTAGTGGGTATTTGAATTATCATTTGCTTAGGCTAGAGAATTCAACACCACCACAGCCCGCGCGAGTGACTCAATAGATAAGTGATCTTTTGAGACAAATTGTAAACTCTAATGTATTAATTTCAACTCTAACATAATGCAAAATATCTGAACTTGAACGGTGCACATAATTTGCAGACGATTACGCATATTTAAATAAATAAAATAAAGCAAATAATAAAGTCGAACGTGTTAATTTTGACTTCCAATAAGATTCATCTCATTCATTGGCTACGATCTTTCCAATTGCACCAAGGTCTTCACAACAGCAAAGTCTACCCATATAAGTTAGACATGACTGTTTTGCCAAAAGTCTTTATGTGTGATCCGGGCAAAACGCTTACATAATTCCATTTTAAGTCTCCATTGTTACACGGAATATAGATTTTAAGTCTCCATTGACGTCTTAATTATGATTTCTTGGTTTGATATTGAAATTCATGGACCAAAGTAAAATGAGATATTGATACAAGCGTATGACAACCTTTACCACTTCATTGACTTGGCTGGAAAATTGCTAATTCTATATATTATTATTTTCTGTCAGTGATAAACTTGGATTCATAGGTGCAAGGTTGGGAGAAAAACTTAATTGAGCAGGTTGTAGCGAGGATATGGTATTACTAGCTTATTAAATATTATCATGTAGTGACAAGACTCACTAAAATAAAATATTTTTACTTAGGTGACATGATACAATTGGTTGATGGCACAAACAACGAAGTATTAAAGGTGCAAGGAAGTTTTTCTCCAAGTTGGATATATATGAGCGTTTCTTGATTGGTTAGGACCACATGATCCCGAACCACTTAATAATTCAATCTTTATATGCAAAACTCAAATTTTATTAATGAAATAGAACACATTCTCTACAGACAGGTGTTAAGAACGTAATTGTCATCCAACGATATATCGATATCACAATGGGATCCATTTCACTTACTCGTTATTATCTTCCTAGTTACACCAAAGTCTTCCCAATTCTAGAAAGTCTTTGTGCGTGGTGTAGACGTTATTATCTTCCTAGTTACACCAAAATCTTTCCAATTCCAAAACGTCTTTGTGCGTGGTGTAGACAAAACGCTTCCATAATTCCATTTCAAGTTTGAATATATATGGTCTTTGGATTTGCATAAATGAAAGGACCACAAACCCTCCTTTTTCGTGTCCATCATTCCATAACTTGCATACTTCATTAGTTCCATGGAATATATATATATATATATATATATATATATATATATATTTCATTTTAGCATTTAGTTTAAGTTTTTATTCATACAGCCACTATTTAATAGGGCTCTTTATTACAATTTCATAATTTGAAATTGCAATTTGTGGGACAAAGTAATATGAAATGATGATACATGTATGACAATATGACAAATTAAATTTTTAAGATTTTAAATTATATTTATTTCATAATTTTTAGTGATCTTATTTAATTTTACATGTTCAGAATTTGGA